GGCGGAATCAGTGGCTGAATCAGGACGCCTGGGGCAGAGCAGGTGGGGTGCTGCTGGGTTGGTCCAGTAGCGCCGAGGAGCGGCCGCGCTACTGGACCAACCCAGCAGCACCCGAGAGTTGCTCTACCCCGGGCTTCCTGGAATCAGCTGCTGATCAGTTTCAGCAGCAGCTGACTTGGGGACGCCTGGGGTTCTTAAGTTGAATCTGTATGTAAGTCAGAACTGGTGTCCAGATTCAGCGGCTGAATCTGGATGCCAGTTCCGACTTACATACAGATTCAACTTAAGAACAAACCTACAGTCCCTATCTTGTACGTAACCCGGGGACCCGGGCTTCCTGGAATCAGCTGCTGATCAGTTTCAGCAGCAGCTGACTTGGGGACGCCTGGGGTTCTTAAGTTGAATCTGTATGTAAGTCAGAACTGGTGTCCAGATTCAGCGGCTGAATCTGGATGCCAGTTCCGACTTACATACAGATTCAACTTAAGAACAAACCTACAGTCCCTATCTTGTACGTAACCCGGGGACTGCCTGTACTCATTCCAACATAAATCTGGATCTAATTCCAGAACAACTACAAATCATATACATCTAATAGAACACTTAAAATAAACCATCTTTACTGAACTAAACAGGGATTAACAGAATTAGAAGTGAATAGCATTAACAAAACACATAATAACTGAAGCTTATATAGCTAGACAACAGTGACCCCGCCCCAGAGTGTGCACACCCCTAGACTCAGTCCCAGACTCTTGTTTGTGTTGGCGCGCTGATGTTGCAGCTGTAGTGAGGATTTGGTCCAGGCTAAACAGCAGCTCTGTCCCATGCAGCACTTTTCCAACAAGGCCCAAACTTACTGGCTCATGCTGTGCCTATGGGAAGCAGCCTGCTAACTCTCAGTTCCAACAGGCATGTAGTAGCTGCACTCCAACAGCCACTCCACTGGGTCAATGTCCTTGGCGGCAGCAGCCTGGCTCCCCCTTTGGTTCCAAACTCCAAGGCAGAGTCCCAGACTGCCAGGCCTCTTTCTTCAAGCACATGGAGCGAGAGCCCTCTCCCCTTCTGATTCCTTCCTTCCTTTTTTCCCAAGGGCTCATGGGAATTGTAGTCTGGATTGTAGCACACAGGGTCTTCTCAGAAGACAACAGAGGCCCCTTTAGTAAGGGAACTACACATAAATGGCAGATTGGCTATCAAGGCATGGGATTTGCTCATCCTTCTGCTTCATGTTAGAGGAACAGCAAAGACAATATGAAAGTATGAAAACCACTCACAAGGTAGCTTATAGAGTTTGTTTGGCACCTTAAATGGGCTCACGAAACTCACAGCCTTAGCAGGTTGCAAGAGGCATCCAATATGGGTAAAGACACCCTACTCCTTGAAGGAGGGAGGTTTAATACAGGATGTGACTGACACCTCTTGCACGGCAACTGAAGAGAAGGTCAAAATGGATGCCACACAATCAAATTAACTTGTGGAAATGCAAAGGATGCTCAGAAAGATGATGCAGCAGCAATGCCCAAATGCTTGACAAACCAGGACCAAAGTCAACATCCACCTCACCCTGCTCAAAAAAAGAAAAGCACTAATACCTCCTCTTCTTTTTCTGACAACCGCTGTTTCAGCTGCGCATGGATCTGATAAAATTGGAGCCAGAGAATCTTCAGCCACCAGGTCCTTATCAATCAAGAACACCACTTTTATAGCCATAAGGTATAGTATTAAAAAATGCAGGTGGTAGACCCGCCTCAGACCACAGAGCCTTTTTAATTTTACTCAGTTGGGCTTCAATCACAGCCAGTGACAATACTCTACTGTCTAATTGTGTGCTGTGTGAAAAAAAAATTCCTTTTATCAGTTTATCATCTTGTATTGAATATCCCCTTGGGTTGTGTATCATGAGACAGGGGAAACAGGAATGATGGAAATAGCAGTCTTCCTGAGGCAAGATAGACGCTGCATCGCATCAGATACTGTAAACCCTTTGTTTAGAAGTTATTAACCCGAGGTGCCTGATATATATATGTGCTGCTATAGGTTAGCAGCATGAAAAATAGGATACAGTGGCACTTAGCAAGAACCAATCTGTATGAATAATTTTGCATCCAAGATCCATTCTGCATGAGCAGAAATGCTTTCATTATTTATTTATTTCAATGAATACAGTTTGTTGTGTGTATTTAAACATTTTCCTCCGGGGTTTGCAAGCCAAGCATTATGATGTTGTGTTCAGGCATGAGAATCAGTGAGTGCAAATAACTTATGTAGCTTCATTTCCCCAGGCAAGTGAAATGGAAAGGAGTAAATAGTATAAATGATGAAAAGTATGGATCAGCACAAAACCAAGTCCTGAATCCAAATGATGCTCAGGTGCTTGGGGTGTATTTTTTGAAGCCAGATTCACCGTTTGTGGTGGAGCCATCTTCTCTACAGCAGCCAAGCTGAAATTCTGAATCTGAACATTTCTGAGCTTCTGTGAAACACATATTGAAAACTGGGAAAAGGCTGGTTTTGTAAGCTCATCCAATCTGCTGTATATTACTGATAAAACCATACAAAATTCTGTCCAGACTTTTCCTCAGATTTGGTTGCTCCCAGCTCAGTGAAAGTGCACTCTCTTCAATTCATTCTGGCTGTTTCTAGACTATACAGTTCTTCCGGAAAAAGATACGCAAATTGCAAACCACAATTTGCATATGTTTTTCTGCTTCTTTTTTCAGAAGAGGCTTTTCTGACATTTGGCCCATCTACACTGGGCCAAATTTGGGGAAAAAACCCTTTTTTGGAACATCCCTTCTTCCTCGTAAAACGAGGTTTACAGGGATGCTGAAAAACCACGTCTGCTCTAACAAAAATTTTTTCAGAAGAATAGACACGTTCCTTGGATGTGGCAGAGTTTTTCCAGGATACCGAACTCTGCAGTCTAGACGTTCCCCCTCTTTATTAGTTAAGATCAAATTGTACATCCCCATGTTGGGTACTTCTAGAACCTCTAAGAAACATATCATGTTTGTAATTTAGAAATGAGTGAAACTAGTTCTTAAAATGCTTACCGTTATTGTCTCAAAACTTCTGCGTCTCTCCTACTCAGTAAACCTTTCCCTCCCTTTTGCAGTCTGTACTAAAATCAGGCTCCACATACAGCATATACATTTCTGAGGTAAACTGAAGGATGATCACTTTTTACTTGAAGGGAAAAACTGTTTGAGGCAGATCCTCAGCTGGTGTAAATCAACATAGCTCCCTTGATCCTAAGGGAGCTACACTAATTTACACCAGCTGAGGATCTGGTCCTAAATATTTATTAGGTCTTTGGTCTTTTCAAAGCAGAGTTCACTAGAACTATTATAGGAATATCCAGTGTCTACCCACGCAACCAGCTGAATTCTGGTGACATCCGTTGTCAGGATAGGTCATAATAGATTTCCATACTGTTGCTAGGAGATCCGCTATAAGACTTCTATAACAGGTTCTTCTGTTAGTCATCTCAGCTCTCCCCTCACTCGATTAAAGTTACTGGTATAAAACCAATGTTAAAGGTGCATCAAATCCAGCAAAGAGAATACAAGATTTGGGAATTGGGCACCCTTGGAGTGGAGCAGTCCAATCAATCAATCTGGTAGTCTGAAATGCTCAACATTTTTATTTGTATTGTACTAGTATGGGCCATGATGCTATTGTGCTTTTCACTACAGAAACACAATTACCTTCCCAAGTTTCCTCTTTACATAAGCAGCACTTTTCTCTTTTTAAAATATGAATAGTTCATTATTGATAGCACCTAGTAAAAAGCACTGACAGAGAAGTAAGTGGTAGAGCAAGTGCCTTTACAAAATAAATGCTACCTCCTTTGCCATGTTGAAAATATGCCATACTCTGGTAGCATTCTCATTTTCTCAGTGGAATTTAGTGGTGGAATACGGTTCTATCAATGCAAGTAGAGCGAGGCAGAACCTGATTCCAAATGAGTGATTATGAAAAAAACATGGAGGAAGAAAACAGGGATTCTGTTTGTCTCTTGACTATGTTTTGAAAAATAAAGAGGTGGTAAACAATGAAACCAATTCAAAACAGAGAAAAGGGACTACACAATCGTCCCAACATTCATGCACCAAATTATCTCAAGTGGTATATAGTAGTGTAGCCAAAGGTCTTCTCCAATAAGTGACCTTTCTTATTCATACAAAGGACTTGATGCAAACTTGGTGTCCTGTTGATCTATGTACTTTGCTAACACAGAGATGAACAGGATCCCTGCCTTGTTGAAATCACTATCTAACATTTCAATCCTACAGATACTTATATAAAGTGGATACAATGTATTCACATGTTTAGTTACATATGCTTAAAAGTTTGCAGCAATGAGCATTCTAAGTATCCAGTTTCATGTTTTAAAAGAAAGATATTTCTCTTTCAGTGGAACCCTTATTCCTGAAAAAATGAGGTTTACAGGGTTCTCTTGAAAAAGGGTTTTATTTTCTGAAAGAACCGCATCTAGACTGCTTTTTTAGTCTAGACCAGTGTATCTTAAACTTTTTAAGACCGAGGAACACCAAATATTTTTTGTTGAGCAGCAAAAAAAAAAAAAAAAAAGTTGGAGGGAAAATGGTCAGGGGAAAACTATTGAGAAAAAAAAGGGTCAGGGGAAAGTTAGAGGAAAAAAAAGTCATTTGCTCCTTTAAGGGCGGCCATTTTGAATTCTGTTGTTCTCCACGGCATACCTAGATGCACCCGGAGGGGCCTCGGCAGAAGGGATGGGGTAGGGCTGAGGCAGTGGTGGGCAATAATTTTAGAAGGGTGCCCACTTCACAAATTTTTTAAGAGACCCGGGCTGCCCTGGAAGGGGCAAGGCCTAAGGCAGAAGGGGCAGAATTAGGAACTTCTGTGCTCCCCACCCACAGACTCTGATTGGCCTGGAGGAGCATCAGGGCAGCTGCGGGCCAGATCAATTGGCTTGGTGGGCTGGATCTGGACCGTGGAGGCTCTCTTGTCCACCCTTGGCAAGCCCCCAGCCCTACCTTCATCAGTTACCCGTGATGCTGCTCCTGGTAGCAGGTAGACTTTCCAGCTGGAAAACTTTCCAGGAGACTTTCCTGGTAGACTTTCCAGCTGCCCAGCGTCAACGGTCGAGCTGGTGCCACCAATGGTGCAGAACAAGGGGTGGCGATGCTATTCAATGCCACCCTTCCTTTTGCACTATACTGCTTTCTGAGGTGGGCACCTGGCCAGTGGCACCTGCTCTCTGGCCACCCCATTTGGAAGGCAGGGCTGCCACCAGCTGAGGTGCAGAAGGAAGCATTACAATCCCACACCCTGCTACATTTCCTTCTACACTGCTGCTGGGAGAAGCACTGACTGCTGAGCATGGCAGCCAGAGAGTAGTGGCTGCTGGCAGGACACTCAGCTTGGAAGACAGTGGCTCAATACCATACCATGCTACCCTTCCTTCAGCGCTGCTGCTGGCAGTGACACCGACATCTGAGCTGGGCACCAGCCACCAGCCACTACTCTGTGGTCATCCAGCTCAGAAGGCAGCCCCAGCCCCAGCAGTAGTACAGAAGGAAGGGAAGCAAGATCATTTCATGCCACCCTTCTTTCTGTGCTGACTTCTGAGCTGGGTGACCTACCAGTGGCCACTGCTCTGCTGCCACCCAGATCCAAAGGTAGCGCCACCACCAGTGTAGTGCAGGAGCAAGGGTGGCAATGCCAAACCATGCCACTCTTCCTTTTGTGCTGCTGCTGGCAGTGGTGCTGCCATCCAAGCTGGATGCCCAGACAGTGGCCACTGCTTTCCAGCCACCAAGCTTGGAGGACCAGGAAAAATCACAGAAATTTTTCAGTATTTCCAAAATCTGCTCTGCCGAAGATCTGAGGGCCAAAGAAGAGGTCATGTCAGGGAAAATCTGGACAGCTGGTAAGCCTACTCACAACCCCCTTACACTCATTTTGCAACCCCCATTTGGGTTGGGAGCCCCAGTCGGAGAAAGGCTGCACTTGGAGAATCCCCAATGACCCTGAGGTCCAACATGGGCATGTTTCTGGCAGACTGTTTCCCACAACTTCCACTGACTAGGTCGGGGTGGGGGTGGGGAAAGCCTTTTTTGGGTGAAGGGCCACACACAAATAAGAAGCAAACTTAGGAGACAACTTCCACTGACTAGGTCGGGGTGGAGGGGGAAGCCTTTTTTGGGTGAACGGCCACACACAAAGAAGAAGCAAACTTAGGAGCCCCAGACTGAGAAGGAAAAAGACACTCTCTACATTTCCCTCGCACACCAGCCCAGGTGAGTAGATTTTGTGTGCTCCAGCCCTGTGTCTACACTGGGCCAAATGTCAGAAAAAAACCCCTTTTTTGGAACAGCCTTTCTTCCTCGTACAATGAGGTTTACAGAGATGTCAAAAAAGCAAGTCCGCTCTTCTGAAAAGAATTTCGGAAAAGCAGCCGCATTCCCTGGACACCTCTGGTATCCTGGAAAAACTCTACAGTATAGACATAGCCTTAGACTTTTCAAGTCTTCAGTAGGTCCATTTGGTACAGCTTCTGTCTTGTGCACAGCAAATTTCATCATCAGCTGCCCTTGCCTATTTGTAACCTTGAATGACCCTTGCCACTTGGCCAGCAGATTGGACTTCAAAGTTGGAAGCAACAATGGACCCTCTCATTGGGTTTGAATTTTCACATTCTGGCCCATTGGTGTTGGTCCGTTCCTGGCTCTTAGATTTCATCAGGTTTTCCCACAACAAAGCTGGGGGCTGCAGGTTTCCTCTCTGACCGAACACACATTGCAGCACGTTCAGGAGTGGCTCGAGGAGAGCTGCCGGCAACTGGCGCCCTAGGCGGAATGCGCAATCGGCGCCTCCACCTCCATAGCCCTCAATGGTGTGGTGTCATCATTGGGTGCCACGTTCAATGCGGTGCCCTAGGCAACTGCCGAGGTTGCCTACATCCACATGCCTCCCCTATAACCCAGACATCCAAGCAAGGGGGTCTGTAGTAGTAGGCAAAGTCCGGCCCTGCTCTCAGGCCTGGGGCAGCTGCTAGTGGCAGAATCTGTCCTGCAGCTAGGATCCCTGTTGTACCTTCTTCAGCACCTCTCCTGGTCAGTCTCTTGCTCTGTGGGGTCTCTCCCCTGTCAGAGCTGGCTGGCTCGGTGAGGGGGGTGTATCAGTGCGAAGGTGCGTCCCCTGGGGGAGGATGTGACTCTGGCTCGCTTGGCTCAGTGGGGCTCAGTCCCCTCCTTGTGCCCAGGAATCTGGCAATTCACTTTGTGTTATGGCCCATTGGGCTTTGATGGGTTGGCTCTTCACTCCTTTCTGGGGGGCGTCCCTGGGTGGTTCTAGCAGGCTGCTGACAGGATTCCTTTCCTGCTGCTCACTTGTCTGTAGTCACCCAGCCAGTCTGCTTCCCAGCCCTTTGACCTGCCCAGCTGCTGTTACCTGCCAATCAGCAGTGGCTGGTAGTGCCTGGATTAACCCTTTAGTTTCTGAGCTCGTGTGCGGGAACATCCACCCTATGACATCCACCCTTTGAAACTCCTCTTGCAGCTGGAGCAGGTTCTGTGGGGGCAGTGGGCAATGTTCCCGCTAATCTTGTCCATCCAGGTGCTGAGATTTATATCTGTGTGGAATAATGTTATGTGCACTGAAGCATATGGAATGTGCACCCCCAGTAGAAACAAAGCCTTGCTGTGGGCGCTCTGCTAATCATCTGGGCGGCATTGGAATCTCTCCTGAGGGGCTGCACAAACGGGGAGGGAGCTCTACACCCCATCAGAAGCACCTGAAAAGGCACAGTGCCTGCAGAGCCTCGGGCACCTGATGGGAGGATGGGATGGAGTGGAGATAGCACATCCCCTTGGTTCTGATGTCCTCCTGTCTCGAGAAAAGAAGGACCTGTCAGACTTGGGTGATCTCAGTGTCTCACACCCTCCGACCCATTGCAGGAGGAGCTGCTGCCTCCACTCCCTCCGTCTCCCTATGACACCTGCTCCTTAGCAGCTTCTTGAGGTCAGGTTTCTGTCTGGTGTTGGTGAGCTCCATCCTAGAATGCTCACACCTCCACCATTAATATCATGGAAGAGAGTAGCCCTCGGCTACTTACTAAATTCTTGGAGTGGCCCCCCATCAAAAATTATTGTCCACCTCTGGTTCAAATCTTCAAAAAGGCCTGTTACTATTCTGCAAGATGCTGATTGCCCTCAACTTCCACTGAAGTCCATAGAAAAGGAAGGCATTCAGAACTTGGCAGCACAGCCTAAACGAGTGCTTTTCAAACTTTTTTCTCATGACCCAGTTGAAGAAAATTGTTGATGTCCTTGACGCAACATAATTTGACTGGAGCGTGGGCTGAGGATGAGAGTTTTGGGATGTAGGA